TATTATAACATGTTTATTATGATATAACTCTATTATAACATGTTATTATGATATAACTCTATTATAACATGTTTATCATGATATAACTCTATTATAACATGTTTATTATGATATAACTCTATTGTAACATGTTTATTATGATATAACTCTATTATAACATGTTTATCATGATATAACTCTATTATAACTTGTTTATCATGATATAACTTTATCATAACATGGTTATTATGATATAACTCTATTATAACATGTTTATCATGATATAACTCTAAAATAACATGTTTATTATGATATAACTCTATTATAACATGTTTATTATGATATAACTCTATTATAACATGTTTATCATGATATAACTCTATTATAACATGTTTATTATGATATAACTCTATTGTAACATGTTTATTATGATATAACTCTATTATAACATGTTTATCATGATATAACTCTATTATAACTTGTTTATCATGATATAACTTTATCATAACATGGTTATTATGATATAACTCTATTATAACATGTTTATCATGATATAACTCTAAAATAACATGTTTATTATGATATAACTCTATTATAACATGTTTATTATGATATAACTCTATTATAACATGTTATTATGATATAACTCTATTATAACATGTTTATCATGATATAACTCTATTATAACATGTTTATTATGATATAACTCTATTGTAACATGTTTATTATGATATAACTCTATTATAACATGTTTATCATGATATAACTCTATTATAACTTGTTTATCATGATATAACTTTATCATAACATGGTTATTATGATATAACTCTATTATAACATGTTTATCATGATATAACTCTAAAATAACATGTTTATCATGATATAACTCTAAAATAACATGTTTATTATGATATAACTCTATTATAACATGTTTATTATGATATAACTTTATTATAACATGGTTATTATGATATAACTCTATTATAACATGTTTATCGTGATATAACTCTATTATAACTTGTTTATCATGATATAACTCTATTATAACTTGTTTATCATGATATAACTTTATCATAACATGTTTATCATGATATAACTCTATTATAACATGTTTATCATGATATAACTTTATCATAACATGTTTATCATGATATAACTCTATTATAACATGTTTACCATGATATAACTCTATTGTAACATGTTTATCATGATATAACTCTATTATAACATGTTTATCATGATATAACTCTAAAATAACATGTTTATTATGATATAACTCTATTATAACATGTTTATCACGATATAACTCTATTATAACATGTTAATCATGATATAACATGTTTATCATGATATAACTCTACTATAAAATGTTTATCATGATATAACTCTATTATAACATGTTTATCATGATATAACTCTATTATAACATGTTTATTATGATATAACTCTACTATAACATGTTTATTATGATATAACTCTACTATAACATGTTTATCATGATATAACTAATTAAAACTTTAAGCATAATCTGAATGTGATTG